AGACTTCTTTGATTTGCTATGTCTCTTCAGGCTGTGGACGATTATAACTCTCCATAACTTCCTATCATTTGTATCTTTTACTAATTTTTGCTCACTTCGAGTCCCAGTTCTGCCAACCATTTACACAAGCTCATTAGGTTGGTTACTTGCTGTTTTCCTCTGTTCCACTTCTCTTTCCTCGAATATGTCCTTTGAGTGTCTCATTCTCTAAGTCTTCTTTCCTCATTAAGTGTCCCAGAAATTTCAACTATCTCTTCTTGATTCTAAGTATGTAGCCATTTTGTTTACATTTTCATTAAAACTTCCGCCTTGCTTACATGATCTATCCATGGTATCCTCAGCATCCTTCAGTAGAACCATGTCTCAGTTGCTTCAGACCTTTTCTTCATCTGTGAAGAAATGGTTCAGTACTCATTGCCATATAGGAGGATTGATATAATGAAGCAGTTCAACTCTCTTTACTTGGATTCTAATGAACTTTTCTTGATTCTTATTACTTTACTTAGTTTTTAAAAGCGTTTTTTTTCTTTTCCAGTGCACTGTTGAATTAAAATTAAATCGCTGAAAAATATTTAAAAAAAAACAAAACTTGAGAAAAATGTGCTAATGTGGCTGAGAAATTTTCAACACCCCTTTACACAGACACGCACATACACGTACACTCACACACACACATACACATGAAGACGCACACACACACACACATACATATACACACACAAAGACATACATACACTCATATACAATCAGAAGAATCTGTTTATGCCATGTAAGAGACTAAGACTTGGATTGCAACTCGGAATGAAAACAATACTTTTTCTTTTTATATGCCATGTTCTTTCAGAATGAAGGCAATCATGGATCTCCACCTCCCTCTATCCATTGCAGCTCTCAACAGGTTCCTTCCCTCTGCTTCCTCCCCCAGACCATGTTCTGCCATTCACTTGCTTAACTCCACCAGGTATGTCATGCGTTGTTTTCTCTTGTCTCTCTTTCCCTCTATTCAACTCATGACTATCAGATTCTCCAGGCCCTCCTTCATTATGTGTCCCAGAAACTTCAGCTGCCTCTTCCTGATGTTAAGTATAAGCTTCCTTCTTGTTTGCAACCTCTCTAAGACCTCATCGCTGCTCACACACTTGATCCATGAACCCTTAGCATCCTCTTGTAGAACCACATCTCTGTCACCTCAAGTCTCTTCTTCATTTCTGAGGAAATCGTTCAACATTCACTGTCATAAAGGACAGATGTCATTTAACAGCTCAGTTTTCTTTGTTACTAAAGAAATCTTCCTGTCTTACAGTATTCTGCCCAGCTTTAGGAATGTGCCCTTGGCCATCCCAATAAGTCTACAGATCTCAGTGTTGCACTTACAATCCCCTGTCAAGACACTTCCCAGATATTTAAACTTCCACAGGTGCTTGATTCTAGTGTTCCTGACCTTCAAATCACATTTTGGGCTCATCCTCTTACTGATGACCATGCATTTTGTCTTCTTATAGTTTATGATTAGTCCTTTTTTCTCACTCTCCATCACTACCTTCTGTAGATTTTGTAATTTTTTTTCCATGTCTGCTATCAGTACTATTTGTGTATTTTATATTGTTAAGATTGTGACTGGCAATGCTAAATCCTCGTAGGGTTTTCCGTTCACTCAAAATTGCCTTGCTGTAAAATAGGAATTGGGAGCAACATAAGAAGATCTACATTACTTGAACAACAAAGGATAAGAAGTAGTGGAGAGCCATTACCGTTCACGTCTTGAAGAGATATGGCGCATAAAACAAGGTTATTGAAACATTTATTCCGGGCAGAAGTAGGTCCTGTTCACTCGAAATTGCCTTGCTGTAAAACAGGAATTGGGAGTAACAGTAAGAACATCTATATTACTTGAAAAACAAAGGATAAGAAGTAGTGGAGAGCCATCACCGTTCACATCTAGTAGAGATATGGTGCATAAAAGAAGGTTATTGAAACATTTATTTCGGGCAGAATTAGGTCCTGTTCACTCAAAATTGCCTTGCTGTAAAACAGGAATTGGGAGCAACTATAAGAAGATCTACATTACTTGAACAACAAAGGAAAAGAAGTAGTGGAGAGCCATCACCGTTCACGTCTTGAGGAGATATGGCACATAAAAGAAGGTTATTGAAAAATTTATTTTGGGCAGAAGTAGGTCAATCTGAGAATTTTTCAGCAGCTCGTCATAAATAATCAGAGAAGATAAAAGTTACTTAAAACAACGAAGAATATAAAGTTGTGTTGAGCCATCACTCATCGTAAATAGAGTGAGAGGAGAAACTAGAAATATATTTGCAGATTTAGTAATAAAAAATGTCTGAATCTCAAAGTACACATTATCTGAAAGATGTGTCAATGACTCAGGAGGGGTAAAACAACATTTCTTATAAGAACTTCTCCTTTGCAAATTGTTTCATAGATTTCATCTAATTCATCCCTCTAGAGGAAAAAGAACCCACCATTTAGCCTTTTAAGCAGCTATTATATAGAAAGGATGATCAGTAAAACAAAAAAAAAGACATATGGGGTTATAATACTTATTTTCTACAGTTGACGACTAACTACAAGAAGCCATTATAAGTTGAAGGAGAAAATTTGAATCAAGATGAATCAGAAAAATAAAAAAAGGTAAAGAGATTTAAATAAATGTATAAATAAAATAAAATTTTAGAAAATAAAGGAATCTTTTCTAAACAAACAAAATTTCCTTTTTTGTATTCATTCCTTTTTTCTTTTTTGGTGTTTTTCATTTTGTTTTGATTTTCAGAGGATAAAGAATTGTTTGTCGGAATTCCACTTAGAAACTTACGAACCATACACACCAAAACAAAGATGAAAGCACCAAATGAAAGGGCAGAAACAAAATAAAAAATGGGCAGAAGAACTTCTTTAAAAGGAAAATGGCACTTTGAAGAATTTGCAAGAATCCTGTGGACTGTGATGACATAGCGCTTTAACTCTTACAATAGCCATCTGTTAAAAACAACAAATTAAAAAAGAATACCTATTTCCAACTTTCAAAACAAGTGAAAAGTGGCGGTACTTTAAAGACAGAAAGTAAATTTTTATGTTTTCAGAATGGGCCGTATGTGAAAACGTCAAAGAGGTGTAGAGAAGAACCATAATAAGAAAAAAACATTTTTATTTGATAATACTGGGGTGGGAATAAACATTCTTCTTTGAAGTTAGCTGTTCTAGATTTTTTAAAAAATCATTTTCTTCCAAACATTCTCTTTTATAACGTGTTCAATTACATATATATATATATATATATATATATATATATATATATATATATATATACAAATACAAAGTGGATACTGAAGTCAACGACCAGAGGCAACAGTCTGTTTTATGCTAAATGCAATTGTCAGGACATGTTGCTTCTGGGTGTTGACTTCAATGTCCACTTTTTATATTTAAATATGATCAATCCTTGATATTGAGTACTTTAACCCATAAATATAGCATACCTTAAAACTATATTTTATCATTCATATATATATATATATATATATATATATATATATATCTGATGTGATGAGCATGAAAGTAATATATACATTCTAACGTTCACAGCATTAATCCAAAAGAGGGCTTGATGCTGATAGTAGAGAAATAATTATTTATTTATTATAATTTTATCATTTAAACAAAACCATTTTACTCACTACAAAGATGCAATTTAGTTTCAGTGCATTTCAACTGCACTTCTAAATACCAAGAATGTAATATGCCTGCACTTATAACAAAGATATTTTCTCAGTACTGAGTATGACTAACTTTCATTTGACAGATTTGATATCTATTTGTAATAAATCCTACCAGCCATCTCTCTGAAAGAATGGTTGTTCAACTTAAATATTAGAAAGCTATAACTGTTATCTATTTATTCTATTACAGTTCATCTTAGATATTGTTATATTCCATGCTAATAGGAATATATATTTGAAAAACATGGTGGATAAAATAAGTAAAGATTTATTGTAAAAACCAATACAATAAGAATAAAGGTAACAGTTATGCATAAGGTCATCGCAAGTCAATACAGTAGTGAGTGCTACTATTGGAAGGTTGGTAGTTCTCACATAAGTCTGAGTTGTACTCAACAGATCCCAGCTAGACTCTGTAGTCTGTTGATTTACAGATACCTATAGTGTAGTTACTCATGGGGGTGAGAGGTTATTACATTACATCAGATGTAGATTGTAGTTACTCTGTACATTTTTTCCTTGGTTGAGCTCTGTTGAAAGATGACTGATAAACTGGTTTACGTGTCTTTTTGTTAATTATGTTGTATTTCAATATTACCACTTTATCATAATGTTATTTTATGTTGTCTCTTGTGGTAATAAAATAAGCATATCACATCTCCCCTCTTGCTTGTAACCATCCACTATATTAAAATAAAGTTTTCAGCACTAAGGCTGAATTATTCAAATAAAGCTTCATAAGTTTCTACTAAGAGTTGTTGGGATATTAAAACTCTCTTTTTTCTTGTTTTAACATATCTATTTTTAATGACTTAATTAAATTTGTGCCCCAGTAAAATATATCAAGTGTTATTTCAAAAGTGTTTCCAATTTTTTTACATGCAGAAGTAAATTTTACAAACACCAGATGAGTGAATTCAGCAAAAAAAGAGTTTATTTTGGAATCATCTCCATTTTAAATTGTCCATCAAGAATTTAAGACAGAACCTAAAACTCTCCAAACACCAGTCCATTGATCTGTCTCCTGATCCAAGCACACAAATGAGTGCTTCCTATCTGGAATGTGAAGTAAGTCACAAGAATTGCACCATTGTGTTGACCTTCTCTTTAGAAGTGTTTCCCAGTAGAATCACAAAACAGAGCATTCTGGGATTGTGGCTTGGGAACAGCTCTATTATTCAAGATGCTATCATTCCTGTCTTTTGCAGGAACTCAAAGAGCTGACTTCCTTACAAAGAAGTTTCACCTGGTGTCTTTTTTAGTTGTTCATTTTTTTCTTTTTACATCTGAAGACTTTTGCAAATGAATACCAAGACTGATAGATAGATAGATAGATAGATAGATAGATAGATAGATATTAACAGAATGAGATATATGAGTAGATAGGTAAAGAGATTTAGATATATAGATAGATAAAAATAAAGAACAAATGGATAAATGAACATATGAACAGGAATAAATAAATAAAGAAGGAAAAACAAATTGAGATTGACATGAATGGGAAGAAAGAAAAAAGAAAAACATATTAAGAAAGAAAGAAAACAGATTGAGATAGATATGAAGAGAAAGAAAGAAAGAAAACAGATTGAGATAGATATGAAGAGAAAGAAAGAAAGAAAACAGATTGAGATTGATATGAAGAGAAAGAAAGAAAAACAGATTGAGATAGATATGAAGTGGAAGAAGGAAAGAAAGAAAAACAGATTTGGATTGATATGAAAAGAAAAAACAAAACAGATTGAGATAGGTATGAAGAGAAAGAAAGAAAGAAAGAAAGAAAGAAAGAAAGAAAAGATTGAGATAGATATGAATAGGAATAAATACAGAAAGAAAGCAGGAAAGAAAAACAGATTGGGATAGATATGAAGAGGAAGAAAGAAAGAAAGAAAAACAAATTGCAATACATAGGAATAGGAAGAAGGATAGAAAAAAATGCAAGAAAGAAAGAAAAACAGGAACAGGCTTTGGTGTATAATGTGTATGTTAAGCTTTCCATAATTTTTAGAGAAAAAAAAAAGGTTTGCAATTTTATAACCAGTTTCTACTTTTTGAAAAAAGGAAATTAGAGCCTTTTGAACACACACCTAAAATAAATCGACCTGAACAGAGTGATAGATAAAAAGGTAGACAGAAATATATGCATTCTCAAATAGATAAAAACAGGCATAGAGTTTATGTGGATGAGTCTGAGAGAAATAGATTTTTTACAATAATATTTACTCTGTACAAAGCCTGAGAGCCTCTCTAGGTAGGGGGTTACAGAGAAGCAGTAAGGAGTACAGTTTATGAAGATATTTGGAGAACATATTGTATTAATTAGGGAAGGATCCTCTTGGGATTCAGTTCTACAAAGAAGCTGTTCCAGTGATCTTAATAATGGAATACAAAGTAAATAAGGGTGCTTTGCTTAGATAGATATAGACAGGATGTGATATTTTTGAACAAAATAAAAAGTTAGATCGGAACAAACTGAGATAGATAGATAGATAGATAGATAGAAATAAACAGAGTAATATATAGATATGAAGAGATAGATAGATAGATAGATAGATAGATAGATATAAGCAGAGTGATATAGAGATAGATATGAACAGACTGAGATAGATAGAGAGTTGAGCTGTGATCTGGAGGCGATGTGAAGCACACTTCAATCTCCAGCTAGTGATGCACACCTTTAAAAGGAAGGAAATGACTGACCATCCAAGGAATCCATGGCACCTGACCACAATAAGTAGCACATGATATGTCTAGACCTTTTCCATCCAGTCAGATCACAGCAATTCATAGTGGTTTATATATATATTTTAAGACATTTTTATGTTTATACATTCTTTTTATAGATACAAATATTTAAGTAAATGCTCTCTTTATAATAAACAGTGTTAAACAACATTTAACAGCCAGAATTTCCGAGAAATTTTCATAGAAAATATTCGTCCTCTGACAGGAATTGAACCTGTATCCTATACAGAACCGTCATATAGCCTGACGTGCCTTTAACCAATTGGGCCGCAGACAAGCGTTTGGTTAGCATTTCTATCTGCTCAAAAGAATGTATAAACATAAAAATGTCTTAACATAATTGTCGGACTTGGTCCATTTCATAATGTGTGACATCATTTGTTTATATTCGGATAAGCCATGAGCAGATATGAATGTACGTGAGAGAATCATGGAAGACTGTAGTTTAAAGACAGTAAAATTGACCTTGCTAACCGAACACTTCTCTGTGGCCAAAACGATTAAGTCATGTCAAGCTATATGATGGTTCCGTATAGGATACAGGTTCAATTCCTGTCAGAGGATGAATATTTTCTATGAAAATTTCTCGGACATTCAGGCCGGTAAATGTTGTTTAATACTGTTTATTATAAACAGAGCATTTACTTGAATATTTGTATCTATAAAAAGAATGTATAAACATAAAAATGTCTTAATATATATATATATATATATATATATATATGCAGGGTGGGATGGATAGTCCCCATTTTATAATTTTCAATTTTGTAGATTGTTTTCGAATTTGTTGACTGTACAGTATAGTAAGTCATTTGGGCACTGTCCGTGAGAAAGAGTACCATGACATAATTTATTCTGCCAAAAATTTAGAAATGACATTCTGTACTGCTTGACATTTACACTGGAAGCTCCAATACGAACATTTCAAAGTGTTTGAGAGTCAATCTAAGGACAGTGCAGAGGATTCAGAAAGAGTTAGATGAATCTAATGGCAATTACATAGGTACGGTAGCTCAGAAAACTTGCTTTGATCATTCTGATGAGACAAGAAATCCTGAATGTGTTAGTGAGCACCTCAGGCTCAACACAGTGCCTTGAGGAGATAGTGCTACCCTGGGTCAAGAGGGTGGCTACTGGAAGACCCTATGTCTGGCAACAGGACACTGCACCATACCACACAAGCATGATAAACCAGTCATGGCTGTCAGACAATTTCTGCGACCACATCACCCCTTACATCTGGCCACCTAACTCCCCAGACTGCAACCCCCTTGATTATTATGTGTGGGGTGCAGTTGAGCAAGAAACCAACAAAACTCCTTTTAACACCAAAGATGAACTGAAGGCAAGGATTATGGAAGCATTCACCAACTTAAACAAAGAGACCATCCAGAAAAGATGCAAGAGATTTCAAAGTTATCTGGATGCTGTGGTTGAAGCCAATGGCGATTTTATTTAATAAATTTATTCTTTAGTATTTCAAGATATTTTTTGTGTAATTTTGGTAAATATATCAGTTAAAATTAGATATCAGTGCTATTTTCTTCTTTGCATAACTTAAATGACAATTTATTCATCGCACCCAGTATCCATACGTGTGTGCGTGTGTGTATTATGGCATCTGTTGGTCTTGAGATATCATGGATCTTTGACTGAAGAGTTATGCCTCAGGTGCTGTTACAACTGTACAGGCCCACATGGGAGTGGCAGTCTTGAATGCAATGAATACATGTGAAGATTCTCTCACTGATGTCGCTGTGTTGTTTTCTTTCTGTTCAACACACTTCTGCCTGGTGGAAAGCCTTTGTTTCTCATCTTCTCACTCTAGCCTGAAGTGCAAATCATGTTTCTAGTGTGAGTAATAGTTAGTGACATCTCCCACCTCTGAATGTCCAGGTCCATTGCCCTCACGTCCCTTCAGCAGATGTCCTTGAAGCAAAGATGTGGTCGCCCTCGTGCTCTCTTGCTGGTGGCCAGTTCCCTGTTGTCCCATCGATGTTTTCTAAAGGAAAAGGCTGAGGCCAATGCAGTTTCACACTGGCATCATTGCAGGAGTTACCGGAACAAAGTTGAACATAACATCTGACTGTCTTAGGGATTTGTCCTCAGTGTTTTCTTCTAAAGCTTTTTCCCCTGATTGGATATGGCCACAAGGCAGCAGAGGTTTAAAATGTTTTCCTTCTCTTATATGTGTGCGTGTGTGTATGTGTATGGAAAATAAAGCATAATGTTTTTTTTTTTACATCCACATTACAACCAAAAACGTTTGCGGCGCCTCTCTTCTCTTCTTTTTAATATACATACTTTTCTCTCGTTGGAACCACTACAACCTCTTTCTTTTATATATATATATATATATATATATATATATATATATATATATATATATATATATAGATAGATAGATAGATAGATAGATAGATTTAATATGTTAAAATTTGTCACTTAGTTGGTTGATATTACCTTCAGCATCCTGACTCCAGAGTTTCATAGGCAGACCCATCAGTCCAATCATCAGTGGGTTTCAGAAATTGACTGCTTATATTTTTCAATTTTTTCTTTTTTATGCACTTATCATTGGTGTATGTTTTTCTGTATTGTTCATGTTCATGTGTGTATTTGCATGCATGTAGCCATCTGCACCTGTGTGGATGTACATTTGCACATGCACCCATCTGCATGGATGTGCATATGTGTCAGGTGTCATAACCATTTGTCCTTTATTTCATTGTTTTTCCACTTTAGGGTTGCTCCTAATCTTTTTCTTTCTTTTTTTCTTTCCTTTTCCTCTTAATAAATGTTCCTATTATTTTCATAATGCATTTTATTTTTGTAATCTTCAAGTGGCAAAGTTTATTATATATTATGTGTTTTGTGTTTTACATATTTAAGTGCTAAAAATGAATAATAATTCAAAATACTTCTTCAAAGAAATTCAAAGAATAATTACGTCTAATACTAATTGTGTAATAAAAAGAAAAGATATAATATGAAAGAAATACTAATCAAAAACTGGTAATGACTGATGTTTCCTCTAAGAAATTCAATGACTATTATATCTAATATTACTGGTGTAAGAAAACAATTAGATTTTGAAAATTCTAGTCAAAAACTGATAATAATTGATAATGTTTCCTCTAAGAAATTCAAAGTCTTAATATTACTAGTGGAATAATGAGAAGTAATTGTTTTATTGATTCATTTTTTATAATTTATCAACCCTTTGCACGTTATTTAAAGCTAGAAAATATTTTTAGATTATAAGAATTTTTTTCTTAATTAACCCATGGTTGTAGAGAGAAGAACTGGATTCATACCTTTCCCTAGGGTATTGCATGTAACTGAATATAACAAATGCAATCTGAATTGGAACTTGGCTCTCTGATTACCAATTCTATCCATTAGACCACTGGCACATTAAATTTTAACCACCAGTTATTCCCACATTATCACTCATCTAGATCCTGACCAGGCTCAATGTTGCTTAACTTTGGTGAGTGTACAGGAAATGCTGTTTCATTGTGATGTGGCCAGAAGCCAAAAAGAGATATAAGGTGAGAGAAATGCTAGTCAATAATTATGAAGAATAATAATCCTTCATCTATGAAATTTAAAGACTATTATATCTAATACTACTACTAGTATAATAAAAAGCAAATGAAGTATAAAGAAAGAAATACGAGTCAAAAATTAATATTGATCAACAATGCTTCACCATAGACTATTACATCTAAGAAAAAAACATGTTTTAAAATGGCTATAAAACACAAATTCTCCCATAAACATGAAAAACAAAATCAATTCAGCTATCTCTCTCAAGTTATCTCATACATACAAACTTCAGTGACTTCATTTTCTATAGAGAAAATTGGTTATCAATAAAAATACATCATGCTGACTTTAAGAGAAATAAATGTCTGCCATTGTTGGCTAATTACAAGCAAAATAGATGAAAATTCAAGGAAAAACCTTCCTACATATACTCTGTAAAGAATAATGAATTCTTGGAAGGATGATCATTTCACACAGAGATTCCAGACCTTTAGAAATGAATCCAGCAAAGTCAAGGTTTTCGCTGAACCAAAATTTGCATTATTTTTATTATCTTTTTTTTCGTTTCAATAATCAGAATTTTTTGTGTTTTGCTTCAAATAATTTAATTTGACAAGTGCCAATATGTCGCCTTCTTTCTGATAAGCTAGTCACAAGGAGCCAGCCTCAGATGCCTTCTTAGATTTCATTCTAATTGGTTTCTTAAAAATGAGAACAAAAAAACAAGTAAGGCAAACAGATGTGCTTTGTTTTTGTTGAATTTCTATTCCTGCTGTATGACAGATCATTTATTAAAAAAATGTAAATTAGCTTTTGTTAGGGAGATACACAGGTTTTGGTATGCCTTTCTTTGACTATCCTTTGACTTAAAAACAGAAAAGAGACAGTTGAAATTTCTAGGGCCCATAATGAGGAAAGAAGGCTTGAAAAATTTGATACTTACAGGGCATACTGAAGGCAAGAGGAACAGAGAAAAATAAACTAGTTTGTAAATGGATGGTGAAAGAATGTTTAGAAGAGATAAAAAAAAAAAATTAAGAGCTACAAAAGACCTGAAGAGAAATGGCACATAGAAGAAAAAAAATACCAGCAAAAGAAGACAATTCCTGGATTTTATTATTATTATTATTAAATGAAGCATTGTCAATTGTAAAATCTTTGTGAAAAAGTAAAAGAAAACCTATAAATAAAATAATAATAAATAATGAAAATAAATAATAGCTAGGAAAAGACAAAATTTATAAGGAATTTTTTATAAAAGAAAAAGCTAAGGAAAAAAACAGCCGGTTTCATCCCAGGACTTATGAAGTTTATTTTTTTCTGGGAATAGAAAATTTATAAAAGCATGTAAATTAAATTAACCAATGGAATGGAATGGAAGAAAAAAAAAGAATTTCAAGAAACTAGATTCCAATAACATTCAGATGATCCAGTAAGCATTCCCTCTGTTTACAAAGGGAAAGCTCACGGGATCTGATATATAAGGACTCTAGAACCTTGAGGTGATATGTGGAGTGGGACCTAGATAAAATCAAAAAAACGGTCTGCACTAAAATTAACCACACATTTCCTACTATTTATTCTATGCTCAGCAATAGCAAAGCCAGAACTATTGGTTAGTTGGTTCTTCCTGGCTGCCAGATTCAAAATCCTGGGGGGTAAATGATTTTTTTTTTTTAGCTTTTTCTTTTATAAAAAATGACTTATAAATTTTGTCTTTTCCTAGCTATTATTTAATTCTGTACCACAAAAAAAAAAAACTTATTTAAAATAAATAAATACATTTTCTCATGATGCTAGTAATAAAATAACAACATCTGTACAATTTTATGACTCCACTTCTGAAAAGGATAGAACTGTTCTCTCTTTCCACTTTCCAATGCATAGTGCTCTGATATTTTTTACAGAACCACCACTGATGAAATAAGTAGAACCTTTACTTTGGTTGTTCCAACCCAGCACAAAGCTGACTTGAGCTTGACCATTATAACCATTCTTATCATTACTTACCCTAACTTATTTCTGGACCAGAAAAAGAAAACTGTTATTGCAAACTTTCTGACGGGTTTTATAACAAAAGAATAAACAGTCCATAGTCCATAAATAGTTTTTATTGCTTCTTCTTTAATTATTTATATGTCAACACACACACACACACACACACACACACACACACACACACACACACACACACACCTACAATACACCATAACAGCAAATGGACTTGAGAAAACCTATTTTCCTAAAATAAATTGTTTTAAGAGAAACTTTTTATAAATTTTGACCAAAAGTAGAGTAGGTGCTCAGTCAATGAGTACCAAATGTTTCCTTATAAGGAAACAGCTGATATCACTGTTATCATAATAATTGAATATTAGTCAACAGCATGAAGCCTACTGGCTGACTGGGTACCAATGAAGATTAGTATGCATCCATTACAAGATAAAATAGCACCCTGTTTGGCCAGAATTCAGTTCTTAGATGGAGGAAACTCTTCAGGATGCAGGCTTGGGTGATGGTATATAGAAATCATGCACTGCTGAGACTATATGGCCCCTACCACCATTTAAGCTGTACTGAAAAGATCCAAAGAGAAAACCTGGCATTATATTTGGGGACAGCTTGGCTGCAAGAGATGCTAGAAAGGTATCAGTATTGACAGCCAACTGGCTTCACTGCTCCACTCCAGGTTTCTGTCTAGATTTACTTCCATAGCCTTTTCCACATAGGAATATGACCACAAGGTAGCAGAGGTTTAAAATCATGGTTTTCCTTCCTCTAGATGGACTGCCTTTCTAGGCTGTCGGGCTCCTAAACAACTGGTTATAGGGTACCAGCTTTCCATCTTTGCCTATTTTTCAGCTGAGGCAGTCCATCTAGTGGAAGGAAAACCCTGATTTTAAACCTCTGCTATCTTGTGGTCATATCCAAACAATAGTCAATAGTTATTTGAGACACATGCCACGTAAGCATTTTATAGACAGTGGGAGATTGTGGTCACTATGATAACCTTTTGAACATATATAATGTACGTATATTAATGTTGCATACATTTTGTGTTTTAGAATTTTATTTGCATGCATTACCACTGAATGTTACAATTACTCCTAAAAGAGTTAGGGAATTATCTCATAGAAAACCAGCTTTGGTTTCAAAAACCTGACATTTTCTGGCTATTTTTGCCTAAAATGCTTTCTGGGTCAAGCAGGAGAATCAACTCAGATTGGCATTTGCATCTATTTGGCGTTAATCACGTTCAGAAGATTTTTTTCTTTCTGATTTCTTTCTGTCCATATTCTTCAGCCACACGGAACTGATAAATGCAAACAGCTTGTCTCCTCTCATCAGGAATCAATAGAATTGTCAAGGAAGAATAAAAATTGGTCATAATGGTGGAATAAACAGAAAATGATCGTATTTTCTCCTGATAATACATTACAAAAGGCAAGAGCACAATGGTAAGCACTTGTCCTTGTTTTGCTGAACAAATAATTCTTACACACACACACACACACACACACATATATATATATATATAAATATATAGGATGTGATGGATAAATTGTTGTCTAAATTATGCAAAGATGAAAATAACAATGACATCTCATTTTAACAGATATATTTACTAAAATTACACAAAAATATCTTTAAATACTAAAGAGTTAATTTATTCAATAAAATCACCATTGGCTTCAACCACAGCCTCCAGCAACTGGGAACCTCCTGCAACTATTCTGGATGGTCTCGTTAAATAACGAGACCAACAAGCTGGTGAATGTTGCCTGTTGCCATAATCCTTGCCTTCAGTTACAAAGAGTTTTGTTGGTCTCTCACTCAACTGTATCCCACATATAATAATCAAGGGAGTTGCAGTCTGTGAAGTTATGTGGTCGGATGTAAGGAGTGATGTCATCACAGAAATTGTCTAACAGCCATGACTAGGTTTTCTTGATTGTGCGGCATGGTGCAGAGTCCACTTGCCAAACATAGGGTCTTCCAGCAGCCATCCTCTTGACCCAAGGTAGTATTACCACCTCAAGGCACTTGATGTGTGTCTCCATGTTGAATTTTAGACCTTGTGGAAAGATGAATAGAGGCATAACTTCACCATCACTAGTAATCACTCCCAACACCGGTGTAATCACCATCAGACTCATCCAACTCTTTCCAAATCCTCTGCACTGACACTCAAACACTCTGAAATGTTTGCATTGGAGCATATGGTGCAAATGCCAAGCAGTACAGCATACAGTTCCCAAATTTCTGTTGGGTTAAATTATATCATTGTGCTTCTTTCCTCACTGATGATACCTAACTGTGCAGTCGGCAAAATCCACATTTGCGTAATTGATGTATACACCAAAAAATATTATTTTTCATTTCAGTAGATATATCTAAATGAATTTTGCTTAGAAAAATAATATTATTCAATATATTATTATAAACATAGCAATGGGACACTATGTTCGCTTTATCCCATATCAATGCATTTTGGGAACAATTATGTTCCGCATGACGTGTTGAAAACATCTGTGGGACACATATGTCCCATGGAACTTGAAAGGGTTAATTTTATATTTATAATTTTACTATACACCTATGGCATATTGTTGGAAAATATATAATGATTTTGGTTATTGAAAGTTTATTTTTATTGAGTTTACAGATTTTTTATGAATGAAAACCTTGGTATAAGCCCTCATAGACAAGCAATATGATTTTTGCATTGCCAATAAATTTAATAAAAAAGGGGTTCATTTTTTCCTTAAACCTGTTATTTAAAAAATATATATTACGTTTACCATGTGACCTATGATAAAAACATAATAAAGATAGATATTATATAATAATTTTTATACAGAGGTTGCCTGAGACATGAAAACTATTTCAAGGTTTCCACAAGGGTAAAAAGGTTGAGAAATGCTGATTTAAATCAATACATTTGTCTCTTAATGTAACCTGATAGATAGATAGATAGATAGATAGATAGATAGATAGATAGAAAAAAAAATTTTCTCTCAATTTCCTTTTCTTATGTCATGTGCACACCTGCCTAAAATAATTAGGTACACAGCTAGCTAAAGATTCAAACATAGATTTACCAGCATATTCCAGTAAGATCAGGTAAAAGTAATCACTTCTGACCTCACTGATTCCACAAGTAGATGAATAAATGTATTTGCACTAAGGACAGGTGCCATATGCCCCATTATCTACATGATGACCACCTGTAACAGGAATGATTGTATTGAATTAGCTGGGAGCCAGAATTCAAAATGGCTGCTGGTCAAGTATTATGGACCCAACATAGCTAAAAGTCTTTTTTTTAAAATCCTGATTCAGTTAGAACTTACCAAAATGCAATGGAGCTATTGGAATCCAGACCATCAGGCTTATAAGTGATTAAAGAAACTGAAGGTAGAATTTTTTACAAAGAAGATGTGTCAAGGCAAAATCTGTAGTTGCTCAAGAGTCAATTAGTGAAGAACTCTGTTTGTCAACTTATAGCCACTGTGTAATATGTATAAAGATGTGTACCTAATAAGTGTATCACTGGCCAAAGAAAACCACAGCTGAATCCTTGTTTTTAGTGTGTCAACATGTCCTAAGTTATTTGGGTGGGTAGACATTAAAAGAACATCAACTCTGACAAATTGTCTTCTGCCATCCTGCCACTATGAAGAAAGATATTGAAATAAAATAGTTTTCTCTGAGCTGGTAAGAATATAAAAAGAAAAGGATATGTAAACGAAAGAAGACAAAAAAGAAAGAAGATGAAAATAAAATAATATAAAAAGAAAGAATATGAAAAAGAAGGTAAAAGAGAAAAATATGAAAAAGGAAAGCAAAAGGAACAAATATGTAAAAGAAAATAATGAATAAAGAAGGAATATAAAATAAAGACAAAAAGGAATAAAAAGAAAACAAAAAGAAAAAATAATAAAAAGAAAATATTAAAAAGAAAGAACATGAAAAAGAAAGGAGACAAAAAAGAAAAGCATATGAAATAAGATGAATATGAAAAAAGAATAATATAAAAAAAAGAAAAGAATATTAAAAAGAAAAAAAGAATACAAAAAAGAAAGAATATGAAATAAAGATAAAAAGGAAGAAAAAAGATATTAAAAAGAAAAAAAATACCAAGAAAGGAGGCATTGAAGAAAATAGTTTTAATAGGAAAAATGAAATAATTTAGAAACAAAATGAAACTAAAGAAATATATAATCCTGATTACACCTTTGCTAAGGTGAAGCATTCTACCCTGTTCAATCATGTCTTCTGTTCAGACCAACCCACCCCTCATTTGTACTATTAAGCTCACCTGAGAAACATTAAGCACACATTCTCTCTCTCATTCTCTCTCTCTCTCTCTCACTCTCTCTCTAAATAGGCATTGTTTTAAGTTATAAAAGAAAAAAGGTACACAATGCTATATGTGCATATTTGGTTCAATCAATGCATCAGGACAATAAGAGCACAATGTGAAGTTCCCATTGCACATGATAGAATGATCTACAGCCAGGAGAATTAAACTCACAGAATGGACAATGTGTTGACCGTCACTGAATAGCATACTATCTTCACAGAACAATCGACATCCAAGAATCCGTATCAACACAAAGAATCATTCTTTTTACTATTCTTTTATTTGTAAATGTCACGCCCTTCAGATGCATATATATATATATATATATATATATATCAGTTTACACTGACGATCCGTGTAGCTGAAATCTAGGTAGGTTTGTCTGGCTCTTTATGTTTACTTAGTTTGCTCTACTTAGCATATTGAGTACTTTGCTTAGTTATTTTTAATTTACTCGTGTTGGAGATTTTTTTCTTTGAACTCTGAACTTAGATTCAAGATGATTATTTTTACTGGAAATATATGTTCTTAGTTCTTTCTTTTTTTACCCTTTTTTTCCCTTGGGTATTGGTTTGTTCATTTACAAGCTAAAACACCTAAGGTTTTGCTGGACAAGTATAACTGCTTATATTTATAAGATTTATATATATATATATATATATATATATATATGTATATTAGGGTATTCAGATAATATCTGCTTTTAGAATCAACATTTATTCCTGAATTAATGGATTTAACCAGTGTTTAAATCAGTCAAAATAAGAACCCTGAATATCTATACATCAAGTTACAAGGTTATTTATGCCTTTTTGATAAAACTCTAAAGGTTTGGATGACAAAAATATTTGAATGCAGTTTCTGCATCTTCTTTGCAATGGAATGATTTTTGACATAAACCTTAAAGACATTTGCCTTAAAAATTTCCAAGATGTCTGAAAAAGTGGTAGTCAGTGGGAAAGAGATCAGAATGGTGGCAAAGTCTTGTATTACAAGTTGGTGAGCATCTGCAGTGTCATCCTGGCAACACACACACACACACACACACACACATATATGTAAGTATTTCATGTGTATTTTTTATGTGTGTTTTTATGTGTATTTTTTATAAATTTTATTTTTAAAATATTTTTTGAACTTATTTTACTTTAATTCATTTTAATTTAACTCATTTCATTATATTGATGTCAAATATTATTATTATTATTATTATCAATTTGTAATTGTGATGGTTATAATGCGATGATGATGGTTTCACTGCTGAAAATGACTAAACAATTCAATGTATCTACTTTGAATCTGATCACTCCCTTTAACTTGTCCACTTCCCAAAAGAAAAAGTAATTTCTGGGTCACCCTGTCAACTCATGCTTAATTCTTCCTTCTTTCTTTTCTTTCTCTCCCTCTCTCCTTTCCTCTCCCCTCCCATCTCTTTCCCTCTCTCTCTCTTTATCATTCTCTTTTCCCCCAGAAAAAAACATATATTGAAATTTTTGTTTTTCCTTCTTCCTTTTTTCCTTTCTTCCTTTTTTAATATTAAAACTTTTTCCTATTTTCTTTTTTCCTTTTATTTTTGCATCTGGATAAAAGGAAACTCCATTTATTAACAAAATGCTGGTCTGAAGAGATGGACATAAAATCCACAAAATAAATTATAACCAGATATAGTTTTAAGGATTCTACATTCATGATAGATAGATAGAAAGAAAGAAAGAGAGAGAGATCCGAGCATTTTGTTGAGTGATTTCTACCCATGATATTTGGATTCAAATCAGACCCTGGTTGATTTGTCAGGAAGGGGCCTTCTTCATTTTCATTGGTCTGGGGAGGCAATCCTAATATGTAGCACATTTGGAAAGTTCTTGAAAACCAAACCACAGGTTGACACAAACCCTGTGAGTAAAGCTGATCAGACAGAACTGTTTGAAAGCTGTTGATGGTTGTGTTAGCACAAATTTACAAGTCATCATGACTGAGGGTTTGAGCATAAATTTTCTTTATTAAGATTTTTGAATGCAGAAGCTGGTAGATGTAACTTACACTGTTTAAAATAAAAAAGGGGTAATTATTCAATAAGTGTATCCACTAAAATATAACATCTAACAAGAAATATAGCTCTAGTTGTAACAAATTTTTTATGAAAAAACACATTTTTAATAATAGCCAATATCAGCCACTTTATGGAAATGCATTAGGTACATTACTCAGTTTTTCTCTGCCTATTGGGACAAACTAAAGGGACAAAATTTGCTAAGAGCTCAGAAGGATAGGATGTTATGAAGAACCAAGATCACCCACATCCTGAGGAATTAACTATGGCTTCTTTACCTGATTCCTTTTGGCATATAAAAGTGGATAGATGCAATCTAGAGACCTGAAAAAAGTTATTAAAAAATAAAACTTTAAACAATACAACCATATATATACTAGCCAAATCCCATCTTACGAACATCTCTTTTAATAATAATTTTAAAATAATTCAAGCAGATGATGTTATTTTATTTAATTGATATTAATCAGACTTTTGGCATTTGCCTTACTTGGTTTCTGTTGCTTGATACTGTATGTCTGAAAATGGTGCATTTATTGCAGTCATCATTGATTCTGGGTCTTTTGGCTATGATCAAAGTGTAGTACCTTATTAGCTTAATCTGATTTTTTTCTCTCTACTCCTATTTTCCCTCCTCTCTTTATTTCCATCATTTTCTAACTGAAACCAAATAATGTCTTTTCCTCTTTTTTACACGTAATCAAAAGAGTATTGTCCATTATTTATGAGGTATTGGCAGGATGTAATGGTCATGCGAACATATGAAGGGAGGGAAAAGCATAATCGTAAATATGAATGCTCATCATTACTTTAAGAAGTGGGTACAAATGAAAAGATTTGAAATTGACAGCTTTTTCCATTTTACTGAAACAGTTAAACATTTCTATTTATCTTTCTTTTTTCTTTCATTCATTTTCCTACTGAAACCAAGTAGCATATGTCTTGTTTTTCTACACAATCAAAACAGAATATTCTATTATTTATTAGCTGTTGACTCAAGAGACACTTCTATCTTTCTTTCTTTCTAGTCAAATCTCTGTCTAACGAAAATTTCTCTTAATAATAATTTTAAAATAATTCAGCAGACAATGTTATTTTATCTAATTGATATTAATCAGATTTTTGGCAGTTGCCTGACTTGGTTCTGTTGTTTAATACTGTGTGTCTGAAAATGATGCATTAATTAGGGGTCTTTTGGCTATGATCAAAGTGTAGTATCTTATCAGCTTAATCTGATTTTCTCTCTCTACTTCTATTTTCCCTCCTCTCTTTATTTCCATCATTTTTCTAACTGAAACCAAATAATGTCTTTTGCCCCCTCTTTCCATGTGATCAAAACACTACTGTCCATTATTTATAAGGTATTGGCAGGGTGTAACGGTCATGCAAACTAATGAGGGGAGGGACAAGCACAATTATTATAGGGGATATATATATATATATATATATATATATATATATATATATATATATATGTATGTGTGTGTGTGTGTGTGTGTGTGTGTGTGTCTGTGCATCTGTCTGTATAAAGATTTTATTATGTTTTTGTGGAATAGATATTTTAAGATTACATATACCTACCAGTCTACACAACCTAACACAAATAAAAAAAATATTCAATATAAATTGCCATATTCCCTATATGAGCTTAGTTAAAAAGAAATAATCCTCTAAAGATTTGAATGTCATTTGGTCTTTTTTTTAAGACCATTCAGTGGTCAATAAAAAATTTATCAGTGTCTATCGATACGTATCAACAAAATATTACTGATCTTTCAATGTTCTTATATATTTCTCCATTGCCATCGCAAAAGAGAAAAGCCAGGTCTCTGGAGAACGATTCCATTTTTGTCCCAGTCCCACTGGGCAGGTTTTAGTGGCACCATTTTATTTATACACTATTTGCGGTCAAGTCACTAACAAACACAAATCTTTGCCAAGCGAATCAGTTAATTACAGCTGCTTACGCCATGTTGTATGGATTGATTTTTTCCGTCACTCGCAGACGGTGGAATCATTACAGTCTATTTTCAGCCTGAATTATTCAGTACCACATCTTGGCTTCAGTTCTTCACAACCAATCATCCTGAAACAAATAATCTAATAATGAAGAGAAATATGAAATTCTGGCATGTCAGCACTTATATCGGTCATGCTGGCGTTGGTTCTTAATGAGCAATAAATGATGAGAGAGATTATCGTTGGAGAAGTCAGTTATATAATCCAGTGTTTGACCAATGCAGAAGTACTTAAGTAACTTTGTTCAAAAGTTTGTTTCACCCAATGTTTATCTATATTTCGCCTTCTTTAACGTCTTATTCTGTTTAGGTCTTTTACAAAAATCTTCTTTTATAATGCATTGAACATTGATACCACATCTAGTCTGGTGCTTCTGCAATGTATTCAGAGATTTTTGATAAAATCTCAAGAAGAATCTGCAATATTATTAGTCCTGACCTGGCATCTCAGTTTCAGTCACATTCCCACCAATGTAACACAGCTTCCCTGTGCCATTTCTATAAATACTTTCATTTTAATTGTTTTGCTGAATTTTCCTCAATGGTACCTAGATTTTAAGCAGAGTACTAGATTGGCAGAAGAATCTGCTGCTACAAAAATCAGTGTGATAAGATCAAATTGGCAGCTAATTTCAAAAGCTGATATACAATCTGTTGTTTAAGGGGAAAAGGAATGGCTTAAAATTTTAATGCCTCAAAAATAAAACTGCTCCATTCGGACTAAATTTGTGATGTCGGTAGGACTACACATGCATAAGAAAGAGTGGTGCTGGGAATTCTAACATAACAAATTTAGTCCAATGAAGTCTTTAATTATGAAA